ATATATGCATAAATACTACAATGTTAACACCACATTTACTTCTTTCCGAAGGCCTGTTTACTTCCAATCCTCCACCAACCCATTAAAGTAGCACAATATAAAACGGACGACACATGCTGACGCAACATATATTGGTCACACGAGTTTCGTTGGCAATCAACTCCACTCAAACTTGCTGACACAACACTTCATACTCTCATACATGTTAGCACAATATTTACCGTTCACACTCTGATACAAAACAATTAATACACGCCACACTAAAACACCATAATAAAAACACATATCATAAATGTAACGTAATTAAATAATTGAGTTGGCGTGATACCGATGAGGGGAGAAAAAAAAAACAAATAAAAATTTCGAATGTATTTTCAACTTTATTTGACTTTATTTGAGATTCGCAAGAAACAAAACTTTACCTTCACACTCTGATACAACACAATTAATACACGCCGCACTAAAAACACCATAATATTACACATATCATAAATGTAACGTAGTTATATAATTGAGTTGGCGTGATACCGATGAGGGGAGAAAAACCAAAAAAAAAAAAAAATTAAATAAATCATAACAAAATAAAAATTTCGAATGTATTGTGACTCCTAGAAGAAGTGACTTCTAGAGAGAGCGCATTCCTCCCATGTGACTCAAATGAGTGGCTAATTAATGTAATGGTAAGCTACAGAAGGGGTGAACATCATATCGAATATATTGATTGTTGTAAACAATGTATCGAACTTAAACATTGCCGTCCACCTTGCATCGCTACAATGCAACGCAACATGAATTAGACTAAATCGCGACGTATTATAGGTTAGTATTTGAATTGTGAATAAAATGCAGCAATATGTACGGTAGTTCAGTTTTGAGCAATATTTTGTTTTATTCAAATCTGATTGTGTATTTTGCCGCAACTAATTTTTATGTTGGAAATATGGAAGTGGTTCTAAGGTTGGAAAATTAAACGGAGGATAATATGAAGACAACCAACATAGTCCTTTTAATTCTCATCGTTATGATGATCATTTTATTATACGCCTTCTCGAAAATAACACCCAAACAAGCAACTCCGAATGTCATCGTGCCGACCATATCAACTTCCAGTTCTTTGTGTCCGTCACCCAATTCTAAGGGGGGAGGAGTTACGTTGGCCACCAACCCCACATGCTGACGCAACATGTATTGGTTAACACTCAGATACAACACAATTAATACACGCCACACTAAAAACACCATAATATTACACATATCATAAATGTAACGTAATTAAATAATTGAGTTGGCGTGATACCGATGAGGGGAGATACCCAAACACAATCCAATGTACCACATTTAAACGAATTATGTTGAAAAACGCACTCAAAAACCCCAAACTATCGAAAATTGGGCGTTCCCCTTATATGGGGTCTATGCCTAAACGTGACCGATATAGCTCATCTTTGATCTTGACATGCCTGCAGACAAAATTTTTTTTCGCTATCGTTATCAATTCCTTCAGCAGATAGCGTGACTACAACAGACGGACGGACTTGGCTAGATCGTCTTAGAATTTTACCCTGATAAAGAATATACATATTTTATCGGGTCGGTAATGAATATTTCGATGAGTTACTAACGAAATGACAAGATTAATATACCCCTATACTATGGTGCAGGATATAAAAATGGGGTTATATGGGTAGTCGTATTATATACCATATACGACTACAAAACACCAAGTTGCAGCGAATTCGATTGAAAAATGCGCTCAAGAACCCCAAAATACCGAAAATTGGGCGGTTACCCTTATATGAGGGCTATGCCTAAACGTGCCCCGATATATCCCATCTGCGAACTTGACATGCTTACAGACAAATGACAACGCTATGCAAATTTGCAGCACCATATCTCAATTCCTTCAGAATATAGCGTGATTAAAACAGACGGACGGACATACTATAATGGAGGGTATAAAAATAATTTATGATCCGAATTGTATGAAATTTGGCAGAAGTCACTTATTTGACCCAAGGACGAACCCTATTGAAATTGGGAAAAAATCAGCTCAGATTTAGATATATCTCCGAAATTCTGCACAGTCTGAAAATCGGTTCAGATTTAGATATAACATCCATATAATTTTTCATCCGATTTAATGTAAGTGGCGCACCAAAGTCCCTATATATCTCTCGATGTGCACGAGATTTGGCACAGCGTAATGAATTAGGTCTTGAATTATGTGTATTAATTTTCCTAAAAATCGGTTCAGATTTAGATATAGCTCCATCGAATAATAGCTCCTCCGAATAATGTAATGGTGCACTAAAGTAAATATATATCTTTCGATTTGTACGCAGATTGACATAGCGTAATGAATTAAGTCTAGAATGACGTCTGTTAAGTTTCCTGAAAATCGGTCCAGATTTAGATATAGCTCCTATATATAAATCTGACCTTTTTGAGGTAAATGGTGTACCAAAAACCCTATATATATTATTCGATTTGTACGAAATTTGGCATAGTGTACTGAAATAGGTCTCGAATTATGTGTTTTAAATTTCCTAAAAATCGGTTCATATTTAGATATATCTCTCATATATATTTCCCACGATTTAATGTAAATGGTGCACCAAAGTCAATATATATCATTCAATTTGCTCGAAATTTTGCATAGCGTAATGAATTAGGTTTAGAATGACGTGTTTTAAGTGTCCTGAAAATTGATACAGATTTAGATATAGCTCCCATATATATTTTCGCCGGAGTTAAGGTAAATGGTGTACCAAAGTCCCTGTATATGTTTCGATTTCCACCAAATTCGGCATAGCGTACTCAGTAAAGTTTAGAATGATGTGTGTTAAGTTTCGGGAAAATCGATTCAGATTTATATATAGCTTCCATGTATGTTTTCGTTCATTTTAATGGAAATGGTATACCAAAGTCCCTACATATTTTTCGATTTGCACGAAATTTGGCATAGTTTACTGAATTAGGTCTAGAATAATGTGTGTTAAGATTCCTGAAAACCGTTGTTGTTATAACATTTTCCTCAACATTGTAATGTATGCATATATTATGAAAAGCACAACATAAATTCACGATTTTTGCTGCCTTCTCAGGTTTATAGTGCAATTCACGTGCACCAATGAGGCAGCGCCAACGATTCTTAAAAACACCGTTGATTCTCTCACTGATATTCCGAAATTTACGTTACTATATTACCTTGCAACCAATAGTTGTTCTCGCCCAATAAATATTTGTCCTCAAAAAAAGATCGCAGCTTACTTGTATTCCATATAAAGGAATCATGGTAGGCGCCGGGATGTGAAGAATCTACGTATCTGATTTAATGTAAATGGTGCACCAAAGTCAATATATATCATTCAATTTGCTCGAAATTTTGCATAGCGTAATGAACTAGGTTTAGAATGACGTGTTTTAAGTGTCCTGAAAATTGATACAGATTTAGATATAGCTCCCATATATATTTTCGCCGGAGTTAAGGTAAATGGTGTACCAAAGTCCCTGTATATGTTTCGATTTCCACCAAATTCGGCATAGCGTACTCAGTAAAGTTTAGAATGATGTGTGTTAAGTTTCGGGAAAATCGATTCAGATTTATATATAGCTTCCATGTATGTTTTCGTTCATTTTAATGGAAATGGTATACCAAAGTCCCTACATATTTTTCGATTTGCACGAAATTTGGCATAGTTTACTGAATTAGGTCTAGAATAATGTGTGTTAAGATTCCTGAAAACCGTTGTTGTTATAACATTTTCCTCAACATTGTAATGTATGCATATATTATGAAAAGCACAACATAAATTCACGATTTTTGCTGCCTTCTCAGGTTTATAGTGCAATTCACGTGCACCAATGAGGCAGCGCCAACGATTCTTAAAAACACCGTTGATTCTCTCACTGATATTCCGAAATTTACGTTACTATATTACCTTGCAACCAATAGTTGTTCTCGCCCAATAAATATTTGTCCTCAAAAAAAGATCGCAGCTTACTTGTATTCCATATAAAGGAATCATGGTAGGCGCCGGGATGTGAAGAATCTACGTATCTGATCCTCAATTCGTTATCACAAACCTAAAATGCTAAAAATTGGTTTAATTAATTAATACTGTCAATTGCAAATAAGAACTCCTTACCAGCAATACATTCATACTAAATTTCCACTTTCCAAACGGTGTTTATTGTCGGAAGGATCAATGATTTGTACATGAGTCCCATCGACGTTTTTCTTCAGAGCTTTTTGGCACTTTTATCCACTTAGGACAAAGGTGAGCTTCGAAAACAGCCACCAACTCGGAAAGGATAGAACTAAATGTTGATTGTGCCATACCAACATCAGAATCCTTTCCAACGCCAGTTTGATATCCACCTTCATCAAAAAACGTAACGCGGCACTCAACTTGGTAATCGTTGGAATTCCAGACTTGTTTTTCCCTGTAGGAGTATGTTGCGCCAAAACTTCCTACAAGTATTGGAATACAGGTTTGCTTACCCGGTAGTATTTTTTGAATCTGTTAGGATGTTTCAATTATTTTTAACTTTAATACACTTATAATTATTGTGGCAATTCAAGAGGATTGGAACTATCTCGCAATTTTCTTCTTGACAATCTTGTAGAAGTCCTTTGTTGCTCTCTGGAAGTAGCAGCATCCTCTAAATATGCTCTAAGTATAATACTATTATATTTTTGGAAATGGTATACCAAAGTCCCTACTTATTTTTCGATTTGCACGAAATTTGGCATAGTGTACTGAATTAGGTCTAGAATAATGTGTGTTAAGATTCCTGAAAACCGTTGTTGTTACAACATTTTTCTCAACATTGTAATGTATGCATATATTATGAAAAGCACAACATAAATTCACGATTTTTGCTGCCTTCTCAGGTTTATAGTGCAATTCACGTGCACCAATGAGGCAGCGCCAACGATTCTTAAAAACACCGTTGATTCTCTCACTGATATTCCGAAATTTACGCTACTATATTACCTTGCAACCAATAGTTGTTCTCGCCCAATAAATATTTATCCTCAAAAAAAGATCGCAGCTTACTTGTATTCCATATAAAGGAATCATGATAGGCGCCGGGATGTGAAGAATCTACGTATCTGATCCTCAATTCGTTATCACAAACCTAAAATGTTAAAAATTGGTTTAATTAATTAATACTGTCAATTGCATATAAGAACTCCTTACCAGCAATACATTCATACTAAATTTCCACTTTCCAAACGGTGTTTATTGTCGGAAGGAGCAATGATTTGTACATGAGTCCCATCGACGTTTTTCTTCAGAGCTTTTTGGCACTTTTATCCACTTAGGACAAAGGTGAGCTTCGAAAACAGCCACCAACTCGGAAAGGATAGAACTAAATGTTGATTGTGCCATACCAACATCAGAATCCTTTCCAACGCCAGTTTGATATCCACCTTCAGCAAAAAACGTAACGCGGCACTCAACTTGGTAATCGTTGGAATTCCAGACTTGTTTTTCCTTGTAGGAGTATGTTGCGCCAAAACTTCCTACAAGTATTGGAATACAGGTTTGCTTACCCGGTAGTATTTTTTGAATCTGTTATGATGTTTCAATTATTTTTAACTTTAATACACTTATAATTATTGTGGCAATTCAAGACGATTGGAACTATCTCGCAATTTTCTTCTTGACAATCTTGTAGAAGTCCTTTGTTGCTCTCTGGAAGTAGCAGCATCCTCTAAATATGCTCTAAGTATAATACTATTATTTTTTTGGTTTCAATTTTTTATTTGTTTTTAATTATTTCATACAACATAAACACTTTAAATTTGCGCAAATAAATAAGGGTACACAAAGTATGAAAAAGACCCACAGTTGATTAAAAAGAGATGCCATATTCCAAAAAATTACTCCCATATTTTCTACGAATGGAGGATATTTCTGTCGAGAGAAATGTTTACGTGGGAATAGAATTTCTCCCAAATTTTGGTGATTGGGCTGATAATTATACATTTAGACATATTACTCCATTTTTCATAATTCAGTTTTCAAAATTTACACGTGATTGTCATAATTACAAAATAATTTATTTCCTGTAATATTTTAAAGTTTCCTGCCTTTAAAATATATAATATATATGTTTTAAAATATATAGTCATATCTTGAGAACAATGTGGATAAGAAATTGAGATAATAAAAACTATCTAAGTAGTATAATCAACATTTCCTAATTGATGCAACTCCAGTAACAACTTTAGTCTTTCAACTAATACGTTTGGATCATGCCAGTATACACATTCTGGTTTTGCATGGTTGACAAACAGTTCATACAATGAACTTTAGTTAATATAAATTAATCTGGCAAGTCTCGTTGAAATCGGTTAAGATTTAGATATAGCTTCTACATATATATTTTCGTCCGATTTTACACAATATTGACACAAAATTTTGCACAACGTTCTGAAGTTAGATATAAATTCTGGGTCCGATTGCCACAAAATGTTGCACAACGTACTGAAGTGAATATAACATAACGTGTGGCAAATCTTGTTGCAATCGATTCGGATTTAGATATAGCTTCTATATATATTTTCATCCGATCATATGTAAATTGTGCACTAAAACCCAAAGTTTGTTCGATTCCCAAACAGTTTTATATAATGAATTGTAGTTAATATAAACTAATGTCTGGCAAGTCTCGTTGAAATCGGTTAAGATTTATATATAGCTTCAACATATATATTTTCGTCCGATTTTACGCCATATTGACACAAAAAAAATTGGGCGATCTTCAGAAAAACATTATGAATGGAAAAATTGAAAGAAAATGAACTGGATGAAATGCAGCGCCATAACATTCTGATGGAAAGGTTTTGAATACGGGAGGTAGGGTACAAATTGGCAAAAACAAACCTGCAATTGGAGCAACTTAATTGATGAATTTCCTTTAACTAAATAATAAGACTCATGTGTGATATGAATCCAATTCGTTTTACTATTTTCAAAAAATGCAATGATTTCTACATGCGTCCCATCGATACAACCCAATACTCCTGGAATTTTATGCTTCTTAAAAAATTCCAATGCTATACACCGTTTTTCTTCAGAGCTTTTGGCACTTTTATTCACTTAGGACAAAGGTGGGGTACGAAAACAGTCACCAACTCGGAGAGGATAGAACCAAATGTTGATTGTGCCATACCAACATCAGAATCCTTTCCAACGCCAGTTTTATATCCACCTTCAGCTAAAAATGTAACGCGGCACTCAACTTGGTAATCGTTGGAATTCCAGACTTGTTTTTCCTTGCAGGAGTATGTTGCGACAAAACTTCCTACCAGTGTTGGAATATTGTTTTGCTTACTTGGTAGAATGTTTTGAATCTGTTGGGAAATACATAAAGATGTTTCAATTATTTTTAAGTTTTATGCACTCATTATTATTATTATTTTTATTATTCAAGAGTGTGGCAATTCAAGAGGATCGGAACTATCTCGCAATTGTCTTCTTGACAATCTTGTAGAAGTTCTTTGTTTCTCTCTGGAAGTAGGAACATGCTCTAAATAAGCTCTAAGTATAATACTATTCATTTTTTATACCCTCCACCATAGTATAGAGGGTATATTAATTTTGTCATTCCGTTTGTAACTCATCGAAATATTCATTTCCGACCCTATAAAGTATATATATTCTTGATCAGGGTAAAATTCTAAGACGATATAGCCAAGTCCGCCCGTCTGTTGTAATCACGCTATCTTCTGAAGGAATTGAGATAGGGTGCTGAAATTTGGCACAGAGTTGTCTTTTGTCTGCAGGCAGGTCAAGTTCGAAGATGGGATATATCGGGCCACGGTTAGGCATAGCTACCATATAAGGGTACCCCCAAATTTTCGGTATTTGGGGGTTCTTGACCGTGTTTTTCAACCGAATTCGCTGAAATTTGGTTCGTTGGGTTCTTATTGGGTACTAAATGTCTCCACACAAAATTATGAGTATAGGTCCACTTTTTCTGGTAGCCCTTATAGAACGGCACCTTCTAACTTTCACTATTTTGGGGGTTTTTATCGTATTTGTACATCGAATGTGCTGTAATTTAGTAGTTTCAGTTCTTAATAGGTACCAAATTTCTCAACAAAAAATCATGAATATAGGTCCATTTTTTCGGGTAGCCCCCATATAAGGGTACCCCCAATATTCCGTATTTTGGGGTTCTTGAGCGCATTTTTCAACTGAATTCGCTGCAATTTGGTATTTTATAGTCGTATATGGTAACAAATCACCCTACCAAAAATTATTTATATTCGCCCCCGGTTTGTGGTAGTCCCCATATAACCCCCTTTTTATACCCTCCACCATAGTATGGAGGGTATATTAATTTTGTCATTCCGTTTGTAACTCCTCGAAATATTCATTTCCGACCCTATAAAGTATATATATTCATGATCAGGGTAAAATTCTAAGACGGTCTAGCCATGTCCGTCCGTCTGTCCGTCCGTCTGTTGTAATCACGCTATCTTCTGAAGGAATTGAGATAGGGTGCTGAAATTTTGCATAGGGTTGTCTTTTGTCTGCAGGCAGGTCAAGTTCGAAGATGGGATATATCGGTCCACGTTTAGGCATAGCTCCCATATAAGGGTACCCGGCAAATTTCGGTATTTTAGGGTTCTTGAGCGCCTTTTTCAGCCGAATTCGCTGAAATTTGGTACATTGGGTTCTTATTGGATACTAAATGTCTCCACAAAAAATTATAAGTATAGGTCCATATTTTCTGGCAGCCCCCATATAACGGAACCTCCTAATTTTCAGTATTTTGTCGGTTTTGGTTGTATTTTTCCGCCGAATTGGCTGTAATTTAGTGTTTTGAGTTCTTAATAGATACCAAACCTCTCTAAAAAAATTATGTATATAGGTCAATTTTTTCGGGTAGCCCCTATATATGGCTCCCCCAATTTTCTGTATTTTGGGGTTCTTGAGCACGTTTTTCGCTGAACTTTGCTACATTGGGTTCTTATTGGGTCCTTAACGTCTCCACAAAAAATTATAAATATAGGTCCACTTTTTCTGGTAGCCCCTATATAATGGTACCTCCCAATTTTTAGAATTTTGGGGGTTTTGATCGTATTTTTCCGCCGAATTAGCTGTAATTTAGTATTTTGAGTTCTTAATAGGTACCAAATCTCTCTACCAAAAATTATTAATATTCGCCCCCTTTTTGGGGTAGTCCCCATATAACCCCCTTTTTTATATTAATATAGTTGTCTGATATGTTCCGCGTTTTGAGTTTGGTTCTAAGACTCTAGTGTAATCATTTCACCTTCAGAGGATAGCGAGGTAAAAAATTAGAACGTAAGGTTCGATAATGAACTATAGTCGCATTTAGACCTAGCCTCTGTGGAGGTTTCAGAAGGAGTGGACCGATATTCCCCATCTTCGAATTTGAATTATCAATTAAAAATTTCTGAAATTTGTATTATGGTTTACAAAATCCGATTTTAGACATGTCGGTATAGGTCCACTTTTTGGTATGTTTCCATTATTTTCATTTCTAGTACCTGTCAGTATATCTATGGTGGAGGGTATACAAAGTTCGGCCCGGCCGAACTTAACTCTTTTTCACTTGTTTATATTAAAATAGTTATCTATTTTGTTTTGTCGTAATAATTTAAGCTGCGGAGGATATCGAGATAAAGTTAGGACGTTAGGTTCGATAATGAACTATACGAACTATAACCCGCATTTAGGCCTAGCACCTGTGTGGGAGGTATCAGAGGGAGTGGACCGAAAAGTTTCGAAAAGTTCGGCCCGGTCGAACTTAACGCTTTTTCACTTGTTAATTATTTCATACAGCATAAACACTTTAAGTTTGCGAAAACAAATAAGGGTACACAAAAATTTTACTCCTATATTTTCTACGATTGGAGGATTTTACTCTCGAGAGAAATGCTTTCCGTGGGAATATTATAGGTAACCAGCCGAACTATTTAAGAGTGGTGGCCAGATACTGGTCAGGAGCATGCACCAGCTGATTAGTACAATTTGGCTAGATGAATGCATAGCCAACGATTGGAACCTCAGCATTCTGTGTCCCGTGCACAAAAAAGGAGACAAGACGATATGTGCCAACTATAGAGAAATAAGTCTCCTCTCCATCGGAAAGTGCTATCCAGTGTGCTGTGTGAACGATTGAAGCCAATTGTAAATGACATCATTGGACCATACCAATGCAGCTTCAGACCTGGCAAATCCTCCATTGACCAGATTTTCACTCTGCGCCAAATCATGGAAAAGACCCACGAAAAACACATCTTCACATACCACCTAGTTGTCGACTATAAAGCCGCATTGGACAGCCCTACTCGTTCAGAGGTGTTTAAAGCCATGCCTACGTTCGCCATTAATGCAAAATTAATACGGCTATGCAGGATAACTTTAAGTGGCACCAGATCAGCAGTTACAGTAGGAAAGGACCTATCGGAGCCCTTCAATACCGAACAAGGATTCAGACAAGGTTACAGTTTGTCGTGTGATCTTTTTAACATCCTACTGGAAAAGGTCATACGAGACGCAAATGTGAACAGAAATGACACTCTGTACACCAAACAACACATGTTACTCGCCTACGCCGATGACATCGATCTAATGGGTCGAACATTGCGAGCGGTAACAGCCACCTTCAAACAAAGTGGGTGTTTGCGCCAATGCGGGGTAAATGTAATAAGGGGGAGAAAACAATATCACCACAAAATAAATAAATAAAAACACGATTAGTTTTTTGTATAAATATAAAGGCAGAAGCCGAGTTTTATTGATAATAATTATGTGGGTTTTGTTAAACAATATTACCTGTGTGCAACAATATGCGGGGAGCGCGAACTTAATATCGACACGATACAAGAGCGGATCAATCAACAATAACAAAAAAGCCAACGATCAGAATATGAAGTAAAGCGGCGGCTTTGGCGCAATTCGCCACTCGTTGAAATCTGTTGACATTTGACAGATTTCAACGATGCTCTAAATGAATAATTATGCGTTAACCCATTGTAACGTACGACAACAACATATATAATAATATATCGAAATTATACATGCCGGCCACTTTACAACATATTGAGATGTTGTAACTTAAATACAATATGTTTTTTTTTAATTTTCTTTAATAATTCATTTTTTTTCAATTTAATTTTTTTTCTTTCAAAACATTTTTTCAATTCAATTCATTTTTTTCCTTTTTTTCAAAACATTTTGTAACGCTACACGTTACATATGCCCGACAAAACCCAACCAAATATGGTATAATGGGCTATCGGTAACCCTGGCGTCGCTTGCACCCGATGTGTTATGACCCTGGCATAGACTTCCGGCCCGGATCTGCCAAAGGAAGACCAAGAAAAGAGTCCTTAATGCGATCGGGAATCGCCGCTGTAGGCGTAAACGCATGGTCCAAATTGTTCACCACTGCTACAATTGATATGGACTGACTCCGGTCATAAAGCTAAGGGTCAGCCTACATATGTGGCTACCATCGATTTGGGAAGTAGGGAGCCGAAGACTACGAACCAGAGAGGCACATATCTGACTCTGCCTACTACACTGGTCCAATACCGCCCGTACGACAGTGGGACGGCCGGACGAAGCCAATTTGACAATCAATGTCGGGGATAAACTTATTCCAGTCTGAAGGGTCATAAAGCCTAAAATATCTAGTTGTGTGCTGGACACATTTTCAGTCGGACGACTATACGGACTTGATCTCGGACGATTTCAGTAATCATTATGCGGACGACGCCGACGATTATTGTGTGGTCTAGCCACGGTCTTCTTTTCGTCATGAAGAAGTGTGTGATGAACTTCATTGCATACAGCGCATTTTCTTTTGCTTTGGCAGTCCTTGGCATGGTGGGATTTAGCAAGACACCGTATGCAGTCATTATATTTTAGAACTATTCTTCTTCGCATATCAGCATTCATTACCCGGAAGTCACTACATCTATCCAGCGGGTGCATGCGATCACAAAGGTGACATTTATGTGAGGCCGCAGATGAATCATCAAAGGTAGATTCGGACCTTGAATTTGAGGCCGACTCCTCCGAATGAGAAGTGGCAACCGGAGCCGCAGATGGATCCAAAGATCCGGACTCGGTTCGCGAGGTTTCAATATGGGGGTATACGCAGGGACCGGAGCCGCAGATGAACCCACAGATATGGATTCGGACTCGGTTTGCATGGGTGTAACCGCAGATGCGAGGGCCACAGATGAATCCATGGCAATAGATTCGGACCCAGGCTCTGAGATTTGTACAGCCGCTATTGTCTCAACTAGAGCTGCTTCCACTGCAGCCGATGACATTCCACCATGGGGTTTGCTCGGACGAGGTCCAACAGTCTCCGTACCGTCATCAACGTTCAAAAGTTCTTCCTCAGTGTAGACTTTTGCGGACATACTATTTAATAAAAAGATAAAAAAATTAGTGGGACGCCGGAGTGTGGTCGGTTAAAACGACCAACTTGGTAATGGGCCGTCTTACAACGCCGTTTTCAGTTCGAATGTCGGGGACTCGAACGTGACCGTCAGAACCGGGATAGACATTTTCTATACGACCTAATTTCCATGAAGTCGGGTGTAGCTGATCATGACGAACAACGACAAGATCATCAGTAGCAATTTCGCGTTCTGGAAATTTCCACTTATATCTCATGTGTAATTGTTTTAAATATTCCTCATTCCACCTCAAACTAAATTGGTGGGCGAGGGCCTGAACTTTCCTAAACCGATTAACTAAACTTAATGGTTGCTCCGTGATGAGAGGTTCAGGGAGTGCTAACAAAGGGGCACCAATCAAAAAATGACCTGGCGACAAAGCGACTAAGTCATCTGGATTCTCCGACATGGGAGACAAGGGGCGAGAATTCAAACATGCCTCGATTCTGGCCAAAACTGTCGCTAATTCTTCAAACGTGAATTTTAGATTTCGAGCTTGCTTTTGAAAATGCATTTTGAAGCTTTTGACTCCAGCTTCCCATAACCCTCCCATGTGAGGGGCACCAGCAGGAATAAAATGCCACGATAGGCCCTGATGGGACAACGATGAGGAAACTGAATCGGCACTTTCTCGTAAGAAATATTTGAAATTCCTTTGAATTTCCCGCGAAGCTCCAACAAAATTTGTTCCATTATCCGAAAAAATGGAATGGGGACAACCACGACGAGCAATAAATCTATGCAAGGCGGCCAAGAAATTAGCAGTCGATAAGTCCGACACTGCTTCCAAATGGATTGCTTTTGTAGCGAAACAAACAAAAACACATACGTAGCCTTTTGTAATGCGACAGGACCGACCCAGATAGGACTTTATATCAAATGGTCCTGCGAAATCCACACCAGTATTTGTAAATGGCCGATTAAGGGTTGTTCTCTCTTGCGGAAGGGCAGCCATAAATTGACTACAAGAACGTTTCTTCATTAAAATACATACTTTACAACGTCGAACTACGAGACGAATGAGATTTTTCATACGAGGAATCCAATATTCCAATCTCAAGGTTCTCAACATCAACTGAATATCACCGTGAACGCATTTCTGGTGGGTATATTCTACCAAACGTAGAGCAAAAGTACTGCGATAGGGGATAATTATGGGATAACGCTCAGAATATGCAAGGGTTGGTGAATCGGCCAATCTGCCGTTCATCCGCATGACTCCATTGTCATCCACGAAAGGATTTAGGGGGGCTAAAGGACTCTTACCACATATCGACTTTGTATCAATTAGATTCTTGTAATCCTCTGCGTAATATACTTTTTGCGCAATAATTATCAACCTACTACGAACATCATTTATTTCCGACGAAGAAATTTGTTTTAGGGGGTAATAATAATGGTTTCTATACCGGGGATGAGTTTGGCGAAGGATGCCTTTATAGAGGCATCGGAAAAAACATGCAATTCAGAAGAACATCCAGGAACATACTGAACCCATCGAGGGATTCTTATGGAGTTAACATGGGGGTATGATAGCACAAACCTTTTCCATTCGGCCTCAGTAGCCGCCAAAAGCGAATCATCCCAACCAATGTTGTCTAACCAAACCTTCTGCATAATCATTTTCGCCGTAACAATAACTGGGGCTAGCCAGCCAACGGGATCGAACAGCTTCGCTATAGCCGAAAGTACTTCCCTCTTAGAATATTTTTGTTTGTCACCAATTGAACAGACTTCAAAGTAGAAACAATCTAAACGCGCATTCCACCTAATGCCCAGGGGTTTGGAACTACTAGCTTCAACAAACGATAACAATTGAGCGTCAACCAAATGTTCAGGGGGGAAACGAGCCAAAATAGTTTTGTCATTGGCGGTCCATTTTCTAAGTTCAAATTTTGCAGAGGAAAGTGCGATTATCAACTGGTCCCTAGCGGCCAATGCAGTTTCGAGGTCGTGAGCTCCTGCTAAAACGTCATCAACATACATACATTTTCGCAAAATATGTGCAGCGAGAGGAAATTCGTTCTCTGAATCATCTGCCAGTTGTAAAAGCGTACGAATTGCTAAATATGGTGCACAATTTACACCAAAGGTCACAGTTTGCAGCTCATAATCTTGGACCTGTTTGGTAATCGAATCACGAAATACAATTCTTTGAAGCGGCGAATGCTGCGGATGAACACGTATTTGTCTATACATTTGAGTAATATCCGAGTTAAACACAAACTTATATACACGCCAACGAAGTATCAGAAGAACTAGATCTTGTTGTAAAGTTGGACCTACGTGCAATATGTCGTTAAGACTCTGCCCATTCGAAGTTTTATTCGAGGCATTAAACACTACTCTAAGTTTTGTGGTCTGCTTCTCAGGATTGATAACTGGGTGATGTGGCAAATAGCAAGAAAGGATGTTTTTAGAAGAATTTACAGGGACCGGTCGCATGTGGCCAAGATCCAAGTATTCCGATAATACTTGATCATAAACTGTTTTTACCTCAGGCCTTTTCAATAAAGAACTCTCATTCCGAAAATATTGTTTGAGAACATTCGCGCGAGATTCTCCTAAATACCCGGTAGCACTAAGATCAGTTTTAAGTGGCAGCATAACGATATATCTTCCCTCTGAGTCCCTACGAGTAGTTCGGATGTAATTCTCCTCACAAGTACGATCGGACGGGGATAACATTTTTCTTTTAGGAGTCTCCTCAAGTTCCCAGAATCTCAACAAGGTCCTATTTAGTTTGTCTTCCTCAGCTACGTCAATAGTAGTGGCAAAGGATCTAATTTGTGCAGCAGGGATAGGACCCGTCACAAGCCAACCAAATACAGTGTTTTGAGCCAGTAAAGCTCCAGACAAAATCGGACGACAACCATCTAACAAAATTTGCGGATAAATATCTGCTCCTAATAGCAGATCGACGGGACGAGATTCAAAAAGATTAACATCTGCCAATCGAAGATTAGGAATTTGTGACCTCAAGTCGGAATTGACTACAAACGACGGTAGATTTCCTGAAATAGTCTCCAAGACTAACACGTGACTTTCTAATGCCAGTGAAGAATCTAATGGACTGCTAATTTGAATACGACACGCTTTACTAGACGTGGCCGAAAGCGTACAACTAACTCCTGATATAACAGCATTTGTAGAATATGCAGGAAGTTTCAAACGATTCTGAAGTCGCGCTGAAATAAACGAAGACTCAGAAGCAGGATCTATCAGCGCCCTAGCAGGATACAAAACTCCATGATGAACAATATTCACCATTGCGGTACCTAACAGTACAGATTTGTTCTGCGCAGCGTGAAAAACTTGGCGGGGTGCACATCCAGCCGATGTAGATGGTATGCAATTATCCGAATTAGAGGAAACCGTCACCGAATTAGCACTCGAATTTTGGGGAACATTAGCGGATGTGAGGGAAGTTCTAGTAGTACTCGATGTAATATCATTCCTATGTAACAATGTATGGTGGTTCCTGTTACACTTCGAACAACGACGTGTGCTTTCGCATTTCTTAACTTCGTGACCACTTCTAAGACAATTCACGCAAAGATGATGACGTTTCATAACCTTATATCTATCGGAAGGTTGAAGGCTTTTAAAGCGGGGACAGTCATACAATTTATGACGTTGATTGTGACAGATTACACAATTTGAACCATTGGAAGAGCGAGAACTACGCTGGGTTTCGCTTGAATTAGTATTTGAATGATGCGCTTGTACCTTTCTAGAATTTAACCGCTGATCTGTACCACGCATATCATGAAGGCACATGAGGGTACGTATCCGCTCGGTCAAGAAGGCATCTAAGTCTTTCCACGACGAAAGAGAAGATTTATCTTTGACGCTTTGCTCCCATAGAGTCTGCGTAATTTTTGGTAGTCTTTGAAGACATAAAAATACCAAAAAGGGATCCCAATTTTCTGTACTAACATCATAGACAGACATTGACGATAGACATCCATTAATTCCACGTTGGATTGATTTTAATCCCGAACTAGACTCACTATAGAGTACAGGAATGTCAAATAACACTTTTAATTGATTATGAACAAGAAGCCGAGGATTGTCATAAGTTTCAATAAGAGCCTTCCATGCGAGGGCGAAACTACGATTAATTAGGGGGAATTTTGACACAATATCGCGAGCTTCACCTGTCGTCTTCCGGACCAAATGACAAAGTCGTTCGACGTCACTTAGACGAGCATTGTTAATGTAAACAGCCGTAAACAAATCCCTAAATGTGGGCCAAGAGTGAAAATCACCTTCAAAAACATCAGTATCGCATGGGGGTAAAGCTAGGTTATGGACACTATCCAAATTAGGATGAGACTCTATATTACCAAGAGTCAAACTATTATTCCCCATCATAGAGGATATCTGAGTTCCGATCTGCGAACCATTTCCGCGAGAACTCTGAGTCGAATCATTCAAATCAATGCGCGTTTCTTGCGGGTTTCCTTTGGACGATTTGGGCGTTTCTATTAACGACACAACTGAACCATTAATGCTAGACGTAGTTGAAGACCTAGAAGACCCTTTAAGCTGGTCTAATTTTCGACTAATGTCCGACTGACAATCTATATAGACTTCAAATGTAGCATTATATTTTTGATCTACCGCATCTATGTCTTCCTTGCTCGTTTCTACTGACGTCATCATATAATCACAGCATTTACCAAACATTTGCTGTGCTCTTTCCCACAATTTTTCTATTCCACTAAGATGGAACTTCAACGAATATACATCTAGATCTGCATCACGCTTGGTATCAAATTTTGCTTTAAACTGAATGACAGCATCCGAAGCCCTGATAAACATGTCAATTGGCGTGAAGGACATTTTGGAGTTTTTTTTTTTTTTCTCAAGTATATACTACAATAAGTACAAAGTAAAGCACTATTTGCTCTGATGAATTAGCTACAAACCAAAATTTTAACAAGCTCGACTGTAATTTTAAGCAAAATCTATCAACAAATTTCAGATATCCAACCAAAATTCTCCAAAAATCAAGAAAAACACCGAAAATTTTCGAAAAATCTAATAAAACCGCACAATAGGGCTAAAGAAATCGAAAACTTTTACGAAAAATTGCCTTGAACCTCTCACACAATAGCGAATTAGCGTGTTCGTAGCAACCAAATGCAAATAAAATGTTAATCAGTGAAAATCAATAAATAAATAATATAAAATTCAATGTTTTTTTTTTTCAAAAAATTTCAATAATAATATATAAATATTTCAAAATTTATATAAATTGTGTATAAAAACCGACTTATTTTTACAAAATCGTATTGTGGCGCACAAAAATTCAAAAAAGTTAAATTTTTTATTAATTTCTATCGAAATTAAAGCGATTTTATCGATTTTGCTATAAAATTTACCTACAATTTAGGCAACCCAACTACCAAATGTAGCGTGTTTATCAAAAAAAATCTTTTAATTTGCAAAATCAAATCAAAAATCTACAAATTAATTTAAAATTTTTGAATCTCAAACGAAAAATATCAATTTTAACACTTTTTATCTAAAAAGTCGTATTGACCGATCGTAGGGTGCACGCGTGATTTATTTTATCTAAAAACGTCGTTTTATAACACCCAATTGTCCAAAATTACAATCGAAGATAAATTTGCAAAAAATTTTATATTATATGTTACAGTCGGTTTAACGTGGTTCACCTGTAACACAACGGACAATAGAAAATTCCAAACGTCTGTATGTTTACCAGTAGGCTAGCATACGTATGTGGGTATACACGCGTGTGTGTATCCTCAACAGACTGAACGACCAAGCAATGATAATTTGTGTGTATGACTACTGACCACTAGCGAACAAACAAACAAACCAATGTAATTGAAATTACGTGTATTTTTAAGGGTGGGTAATATTAATTTTTTAATGCACAAAAAATACAAATTTGCAAAAAATTTAAGAATTTTAATTTTTCAATTAACCCAATCGATAGGGAATTTAATTTGCTTTAAAATAATACACGACAACACTATTTTATTTTAATAAATAACCCGAAAAAATCACTTTTTTTCAATAATTTTGGTTTATTTGTTTCACTTTTTTTTCGATTGCCGTCGGCAAATTGCAATTTGCTATAACAAGACGGAGGGGAGCGGGGTACGCGACGCGTTGTAAGACGGCCACAGAAAACAAACAAACGACAATTTTTGTTGTTGTTTTACACAATTTTTGCCAGATTATTTCTTTTATAGAATTTTATTATTATTTTTTTTTCTCTTCACCGGCACTTTTTCACTTTACGTACCTGGTTTTTTGATGTAAATTTGGTGGTGATGATGATGATGAAGTTGTTGTGATGTGGACTGTATTTTGCTGTCAGTGTGAAGAAAGAAAAAACATCCAATTAATTTCTTTCTTTACCGAAGGCTCGTTCGTAATCCGGTACGAATGGATCAATGTTTGCGCCAATGCGGGGTAAATGAAAAAAGGGGGAGAAACCAATATCACCACAAAATAAATAAATAAAAACGCAATTAGTTTTTATGTATAAATATAAAGGCAGAAGCCGAGTTTTATTAATAATAATAGTAATTCGGATTTTGGTAAACAATATTACCTGTGTGCAACAATATGCGGGGAGCGCGAACTTAATGTCGACACGATACAAGAGCGGATCAATCAACAACAACAAAAAAAGGCAACCATCGGAATATGAAGTAAAGCGGCGGCTTTGGCGCAATTCGCCACTCGTTGAAATCTGTTGACATTTGACAGATTTCAACGATGCTCTAAATGAATAATTATGCGTTAACCCATTGTAACGTACGACAACAAAATATAATTTAATATCGAAATTATACACCTTATATGTGGTAAAAATATTAGGATGGCCGAATTTTGGTCTAAATTGGATGCTGTTTTTTGTGTTATTGTGCGTAGGATAGACAAAGGACTGACATTTCTAAATCGATTTCAATTTGCCTGAAACGGCAAATTCTATTCATAGAAGGTTTTCTTATAGAGACGTGATACTTTTTTAAGGAATATTTTTTGAGAGCTAAAATAAGGTGCGATTTTCTAAATAATATTCTTTCAAAGACCATTCAAAACGTGTACTTTTAAAGAATTATTTTTTTTTTCAAGTACCATACAAACCGTGAATTTTTTAAGGACTATTTTTCGCAACGACTTTTCGTCGTGGATATTTTACCGATTTTTTCGCAATGGCCATACAATTCATCGACCAGTTGTGGATTTTTAAAGAATTATTTTTTGTAAGGGCCATACAAGGCAATCAAAATGCTCGTCCCAGTAAAAAATTGCGTTCTCAAATTTTGAGAATTATATATTTTTAATTCTTCTTTATTGTATTCATAATAAATTTCTTGACTGCCATAACACTGGTATAAACACCAGCATGATCATCACTGCCGCAACCAATACCCCACGAAACAATGCCACAGAGAGCGCCATTCAATATCGCCGGTCCGCCTGAATCTCCCTGGCAGGCATCTTTACCCTCCTCAACAACTCCGCAAAACATTGTATGCGTAATGGGACGATTTTCACGTGCATGGATTTCTTCACAACGCGGTTGTGGCATAATTGGTGCATCGATACGTTGCAATTTATTCGAATAGCTTGTGCCACTTTCTTCATCTTCCACATCGCGTGTGTTGCCCCAACCGTAGACAACCATTTTCTCTCCAGGCTTGGGTGGTTTTTCACATAATTTCACCTTGTCGATATAGAGACGATCGAATTCTATGTCACCATTGAGACGCAGCAGAGCTACATCGTAGTCCAATTTACCTTCACGATATTTTGGATGGGTAATTATATCTGTAACTCCAAAGGACTTGGGTGTGGCACTGGGATAGGTTTTGTTGCTTGAATTTTCTCTTTCCAATTCATCTTCGCCCACGATTACTTTATAGTAATCCGGTTCACTGTTATCGTAGCAGTGGGCAGCAGAGATGACATATTTCTTGGACACAATGGCAGCACCACATTCAAAGGATCCACCTCTTCGTGTCTTCACCTGGGCCATAAATCGGGCATTTGTGATATCGGTGTCGATGCCATTATAAATTCGCATGGGTACGGCTAGACATTGATGAATGCCAAGGCTAAGCAAGGTCAATGTTAAAATGTGCCACGCTCTCAACATTTTCAAGCTGAGGTGAAATTCGAACTAAAATCTAGAGTGCGTTCCATCTGGTATTAAGTCTTTTATAGCTTGGTTTGTGAAAGGTGCTGGTCTATTTTTGAACAAAGTGCAGGTGACAGCTGTTCAAATATTTTTGAATTTTTCAACATAAATTTGATCAAATCAATAGTTATTGTTAAATGTGATAACTGCACATAAATATGTTTTTGTTTGATCTTCAATACAACAACAATAGAAACAGTGGATTTTTTAAAAAATATTTTTTCAAGGACCATCCAACAAGGCGTGGATTTCTTAAAGAATATTTTTTCAAGGCCTATATCAGGCGTGGATTTCTTAAAGAATATTTTTTCGAGGCCTATATCAGGCGTGGATTTCTTAAAGAATATTTTTTCAAGGCCTATATTAGGGGTGGATTTCTTAAAGAATATTTTTTCAAGGCCTATATCAGGCGTGGATTTCTTAAAGAATATTTTTTCAAGGCCTATATCAGGCGTGGATTTCTTAAAGAATATTTTTTCAAGGCCTATATCAGGCGTGGATTTCTTAAAGAATATTTTTTCAAGGCCTATATCAGGCGTGGATTTCTTAAAGAATATTTTTTCAAGGCCTATATCAGGCGTGGATTTCTTAAAGAATATTTTTTCAAGGCCTATATCATGGGTGGATTTCTTAAAGAATATTTTTTCAAGGCCTATATCTGGCGTGGATTTCTTAAAGAATATTTTTTCAAGGCCTATATCAGGCGTGGATTTCTTAAAGAATATTTTTTCAAGGCCTATATCAGGCGTGGATTTCTTAAAGAATATTTTTTCAAGGCCTATATCAGGCGTGGATTTCTTAAAGAATATTTTTTCAAGGCCTATATCAGGCGTGGATTTCTTAAAGAATATTTTTTCAAGGCCTATATCAGGCGTGGATTTCTTAAAGAATATTTTTTCAAGGCCTATATCAAGCGTGGATTTCTTAAAGAATATTTTTTCAAGGCCTATGTCAGGCCTGGATTTCTTAAAGAATATTTTTTCAAGGCCTATATCAGGCGTGGATTTCTTAAAGAATATTTTTTCAAGGTCTATATCAGGCGTGGATTTCTTAAAGAATATTTTTTCAAGGCCTATATCAGGCGTGGATTTCTTAAAGAATATTTTTTCAAGGCCTATATTTTTTCAAGGACAATGCTAGGCGTGGATTTCTTGAAGAATATTTTTTCAAGGACAATACAAGGCGTGGATTTCTTAAAGAATGTTTTTTCAAGGACAATACAAGGCGTGGATTTCTTGAAGAATATTTTTTCAAGGATAATACAAGGCGTGGATTTCTTGAAGAATATTTTTCAAGGATCATCCAACAAGGCGTGGATTTTTTAAAAAATATTTTTTCAAGGACCATTCAACAAAGCGTGAATTTTTTAAAAAATATTTTTTCAAGGACCATCCAACAAGGCGTGGATTTTTAAAAAAATATTTTTTCAAGGATTTTTAAAAAAATATTTTTCAAGGATTTTTAAAAAAATATTTTTTCAAGGATTTTTAAAAAAATGTTTTTTCAAGGACCATCCAACAAGGCGTGGATTTCTTAAAGAATATTTTTTCAAGGACAATACAAGGCGTGGATTTCTTCAAGAATATTTTTCCAAGGACAATACAAGGCGTGGATTCCTTGAAGAATATTTTTTCAAGGACAATACAAGGCGTGGATTCCTTGAAGAATATTCCTTGAAGAATAGGACAATACAAGGCGTGGATTCCTTGAAGAATATTTTTTCAAGGCCTATATCAGGCGTGGATTTCTTCAAGAATATTTTTTAACGACAAAATAAATTAAATTTTCAAATACTTTATTTATTTTTTCTATTTTTGTCTACTGACTCATACACTGATCAATGAAATCACGAACCACAGGGATACTGGTATAAATTCCCGGATGTTTCTTATCAGCACATCCGACACCCCATGAAACAATGCCACAAAGTTCCCCTTTACGTATGGCAGGACCACCAGAATCTCCTTGGCAGGCATCTTTGTCACCAGGCAATCCAGCGCAGACCATGCTGTCGGTAATTTTCGTCACCGAGTCCTCATGCATTTGTACACAATCCTCATGTGAGAATACCGGTACATCAATGGAACGCAGCTCATTCGATTGTTCACCTCGGAATGACATACGACCCCAACCAACAATGCGTATCAGCTCTTCTGCTTGTAAAGGTTTCTTACACATTCTCACCGCCTTCACGGTCTCCCCAAAAGTCACCGGTTGTGCTAACTTCAATACGGCCACATCCATATGTTCATTAACCTTGCGTGGATCATGTTTGAAAATATATTCAGGATGATTCCAAAGTTTAGAGACGCGATATTCGGTACCTTCAGTGCCATAATGTTCACGGATGTTGGCGCCGGCGATGACCCGCAATTCTCGTGGATGACGGCTCTCGAAGCAATGGGCGGCAGAGACAACAAATTGATCGGAAACTAGAGTACCACCGCAGATCCACAGGCCAAAGGCATCGGTAATTTGTACTGTATAGGGGGCATCGGCAATGTGTATTATCTTGCCATTGACAATGCGATGTCCTTTTGGTAGGGAAAGGACCAAAGTGGGCGCCACTAAGCACAGTAATGCCAAACTTGTCAATATGCTCTGCATAATTGGTGGTAACTTGAATTTGTTGCTGAGACTTCCAAACACCAAATGTTATAAATTTATAATATTTTCTGGCTAATATTTATATTTATTTCAAATGCAAGAATATATTTTAGCAGCTGGGCAAATAAAAAATATGAAATCGATTTTTTATGCAATCGCAATGAAATAAATATTTTTGCTCTGCATTGAGGTTTTATGTTATAAATTGGCTTTAGAATTCTAATGCATTGTTTAAAATATAAATAGAGGAGAAATATTTGTGAGGGTGCCTTTGGTGAAAAGAATGTATGAAAGAACTAAATATTTAATATTACGTCAAGTGATATCGATATAATACAATAGCCCTTCCCCCAATAACATTCAAAACACCGCTGATGTCCGCCTGATAACCTTTGATCAACCGTTTAAAGATGTTCCGAAATGTTTAGACTATTCGATGATAAGTTCCTGAGTATTTCATAAATGGATATCCGCTAATCGGGACTGGTTATATCCTAAGTCTTACGACAAATTTTGGGTATATACACCTTGATACGTCAAAAAGTGTCTGAGCGAAAGATTGGATACTTGGTCAACTATGTCAACTATGTTTCAGGCCATTTGGTGTCGATATGAATATGATGAGCAACATTTTACTATGTAATATTTTAACCAATGTTGGAAATATGGATTTAGGGTCTACTCCGTCAAGTAACTTCCCTAAAAAGGGTATACATTTCGAAAATTGTTAAGCTCATATGTATGTACCTAATTTAATTCCAATGGGAACCGTTGTCCAACTCCTGGCCCTTTGAACTTTGAATGAAACGGAGTATCCAAATTTTGCAAAGTCCGAAGATGGGAACCACTCACTCCTCTGGCGCTTTCCCCAAGATGTGACAAACTGAAGTGTCCGATTTCATTCAAACTTTTGACATCGTAATATTTTATCAAATCCAAAATCTATTCCGAAGATGGGGTATTTGCCGATCGGTCGTACTTTACCCTCATGCGGTTGCTAATCATTTGTATCTGATGGCGAACAGCATCGTGGAAGGAGTTACTGAAGGAGTTTTGACAGTGTTTATCCTTGTTAACATCGATGTCTGGGGATGCAGTGAATATTAAACCACCAGGTTTAATTCATTTCCGAAGAGAATTTTAACTGGGATACAGGATGTTAGATCATGAATGGTCGATCTATATGCCAGTAAGAATTTTGAAATATTCTCATCCCAGTCTCATCGGCCACTATCCGCTACTTTCCGCAGATACTCTTCGAGGGTGCGATTAAATCGTTCTACCATACCGTAGGGGCTTCATCAGGGTGTTCTTGATTCCATGGGAATCACACATTTCCTTGAAAATCGCTGATTTAAAGTTCCTACCTTGATCGGAATGAACCTCGGATGGAACACTATAGCGACAAATCTAATTCTTGCTGAATACGTCCGACATTTTCCTGGGTCCTTGATTTCGAATGGCATAAACCTCTGGTCATTTGCTGAAGAAATCATTGACCAAGAAGACACACAGGTTCCCAGAGTCGGTAAATGGGATCGGTCCAGCTACATCAATTGCAAATCTGTCAAAAGGGTCTGATACATGTAGCCTCGAATCTTTCGTGTTGGAACTTTAGCACTTATACACAATTATCAATACATTCGGCAATGGATTTATGACAACCTACCCAGTAGAATACCTTGTTTACATTTTCAGCGTTTGGATATACTACATCGTGAAACTGGAACGACTATCAGATTCCGATGAGATTTGCCGTCATCACTTTCCCATTTCCGAAATAGGCAAATATATCTTATAAGCCAATAGAATAATCCAAATAGAATTCTAAAAGATGTCTCTCGTACGCTTTTTCCTTGGGACTAAGTCATTTTTCTACTTCTATGGTCGAACTTATTTTGCCTAAAATGGGATCTCCTCATTGTTCCGGCGGCCAATCATCGCCATACTCAAACTGCAGTAGCCGGACATCCCCGCCTTCAGCCTTTGAGCAGCCTTTCGGCCTATTCGACTAGACTGGGCATCAACATTGCCTTGTTTCCACCATTACCGGGCTCTTTTCTATTTAACGTGGACTCCTTAGTAAATTGTTAATCTTCTTTTGATGGAGGTGGTGACGAAGATCTGGAACGTTTGCGCATTGCTCTACATTCCTGCCCAAGATGACCCGATTTATTACAGTTGTAATATCTAGCTCTTGGCATGCTAACATTACTTCTTCTATTACCCGTCTACAGGCTTCCTCGAACAAGTTAACGAGCGATTTATGTTCATTACACTCAATCTCCAGTTGCTTATTTCGTAGGTCTGCGGCTTTACCATTAGTCTTGTCATCTCTTGGGCAAGAGCAAGAGACACAGTTTCAGCAAATTTGGTGACGCTATACGTGGTTCTCACCAAGATATGTCATTAGCACCAAACATTCAACCTCAATTGCAAAATCTTTTAAAGAATCGTTTTTTTTCTGTACTCTTCCCCTTAGTTCATTAGGTAGAATTTTTATTATGTTCGTCCATCTTCTGGAAGCGACCGGAACAATCTGTATTACATCAGCAGCATGGCCTTTCAATGCCAGAAGTAGTGCTACCGCTCTGTCAATGTTGTTCCATTAATTTCTAGAAGCCACTATCTCGAACTGTGTCTTAAAAACATTAAATGATGTTGAGCCGTCGAACGCAGGAGACTTAATTTTAAAGTGTAGTCAAGAAATCGCGCCGGATCACCTTTGGGTTCAAAAATTTTTTTCTCGAGGTTCAAAAATTTCTCGTCGTTGTCCAGAAATTTATTATCCAAATGTTTCATTTGAACTTCTGCAGTTTCAGAACTTTCAAGAACTTGTGTAATGCTATCAAGTTTAATTTTCTCGAATTTTCTTCAAACTATTCGTCTGGAATTCTCTTCACTCCTGGAATTTTATGATATCGTAACAACATAGCAAAAGACATCTATTGGAATATGTCTTTGATAACATTTCCGATAGGGTTCTCAAAGACAGGATATTCGATGTTTCCACCATAAATACAAAAAGTGACGGATCTATAAGTCCATCTTCAGACTTGATATAGGTCTGGTAAAAATATTACGTTGTTGAAATTTGCTCAAGTTTGATTGCAATTAGATATTCCGTTCGCCTATACGCGATTTACGTTCATGTTTGCCCTTGCACTAATTAATAACTATATTTACGCCCATGTTGGTCTTTGGCAAAATTGTTAACTAAATCTACGCCCATATTGGTCCCTGGGAAAAAATTATTTAATAAATCTACACCCATATCGAGCCTTGGAAAAAAATATTATATTACGCTATTTTGGTCCTTGGAAAAATCATTTAATAACTGTACGCTCATGATAGTGCTAGAAGAAAATTATTGAATAAATCTACGGCTATGTTGGTCATTAAAAAATGTTTAATAACTGTACGCCCATTTTGTGCTTGGAGAAATTTATTTTGAAAATCTACGTCCAGGTTTACAATGGAAACAAAATTAATAAAAAAAAATCAATGGGGCTTTTAACAGCCAAACAGTTCAGAGAATCAAAAAATGTCCAAGTAAAATTTTGTATATAGAAAACTGAAAGAAAAACAAATTAACAAAAAAAAGAGAAAAAATAATTATTTACAAATCTGGGAAATATATTTAAAAACATTTTTTCGATTGACTCGTGATCATTAAAATTAAATAATAAATATTTTTACGAAATCTTTGCTTGTTTAAATATGAGCACCTTCACCAAAATCAGGACCATAAAGATCCTAACGATTAAAATTCTGATCAGAACACTTTGATATCCACCCTTGCAGCTATTATGTCCATTTGTACTCATCCATAAACAACCAAAATAATGATCAAACGTTGTTGACAATATTATTTTACTACGTTATAATCTTGATTTATATTCCTTATTACTTTAAATTAATCCGCAATTATCTAAAAATTTCCGACCATTATTTATGGGGCAGTAATAATAAAAAAAATACCAAGCGGCATCACTGTCAGTAACCACAACAGATCACCGTTTATCGTAATTAAGCTGAGTGAACAAAATGTGGAGACTTTCAAGAGAACACAACAAATCAGTAACAACACAAAGAGGGAGAGAACTACAACAATACCCCTATGAGAGAGAGCAATTCTACACGAGACAATTTCCGATTGCTGAGAATGTGACCAACCGACACGATGAGATCATGCGCAAAGCAAACAAACAATTAAAACACACAGAATACAATAAAACGCGTTGCGTTCAGTGATCGAGTGGAGAGGAGTTAAACAAAACAAATAAACAAATTGGAATACAGCGAAAAAAATAACAAACCGAGAAGAGGAAGAAAGAAAACAACATAACCATACATTTACTTACTAAGAATTATGAATACGAAAAAAAAAACAACAAAAAATGTGCAGCACACAAAATAAAGACAAGGAAATTTAACCACAAAATTTGTTGTACAACATACAAACAAACATATATCTCTACATATGTTTGTATGAACAACATTCATTCATACATGTGTAGGGTAAATAATAACGGCAGCAGAGGTAACCACAATGTTTTTTGTCGCCTTCAAACAGCAAACCAAACAGCGGACGATCAATCGACGACCTACCGAATGTCATTGTTTGTTGCTGCTGCTGTTGTTGTTTGGTTGTTGCCTCATTGATGACGAAGAACCACTAACGTCGTAGAAAACAAAAACCCGTCCAACCAGATAACAGCTGCTGTTAACTGGCGTTGGGGTCTTGCCTGCCGGCCGGTAGTTTTGAAAATGAAAACAAACTATTCAGCCAGTCATACGACGACGTCGGCGCAGCCGATGTTGTGTGATGGCAAACAGTCATATCGTTGTCATCATCGTTGCTTGACATTCACAGTGTCGTATTACATCAATTACACGCGAGTAATCAAAAACAAAGTAAACTAGCGAAAAGGCATAGAGCCGCGACAGAGCAAAATTATGAAGTAAATGAGAAATGTGAAGAAGAAGAAGGTACAAGA